GAAATAAATTCATTATCTTATTTATATTAACTCACTTGTGCTTAGATTTGAGTATTGTTCTTCTAAGAAAATTAAAATTTTCTAATGATCTTTGGGCTATTAGTGGTTCCTTTGGACTGGTACGGCTGCACGTCTTACGCTTCCTGGTGCGTGACTTACGCTACTTCAACGCCCTTCAAGGCTAACCAACGCTAATATCCAATTACCATTATAAAATGTCATTTTCTTATGGAACAAGCTCATCTCCGTGACACATTCATTAACATAAATAGCATAACTCATTTATTTCCTATGAACATAAATCATGGCTCTGATACCATTCGAGACAGGACCGTTCATCATAATTGAAATAGAAATTTATAGAGTGATATAGTAATGAATAGGCAAGCAATATATATATATATATATATATATATATATATATATAGGTTGGTTCAAATACTAACCCATTTTTTTGTGTTAACTATGCTAACTAACATCAACCAATCATGTTCCATATTTTAGTTAGGTTCAAATGTAACTCACATATTAAGTGTAAGGGTATTTAGGTAATTTGTCATTTTTATGTAACTTCTCAATATTTTAACTGGGAGTTACAAATCTTAAAATATAACTAATTGATCTTCATGTAATAATGACATGAAGTTTCACATTTGTTCATCTTACTGATTTTTACATATCATTCTTCCTACAATGGTTTTGATATTGTAAATTTCAAAAAAATCTCTTTTGTAAAGATTCTGTTATAATCCGAGTAATATGGATAATCATAGAGTAAATTTCAAAAAAGTCTCTTGATTAGGTAAGAGCGGTAAAAGGCAAAGATATTTTAAATCCAATTTTTAAAATACATTCCTTAACTTTCACCTTTTATGCATTAACAACCCCATACTTTTCAAACCAAGCAAAAGTTAATATCGTGTTATAACAATTTTAAATTTATATATTTATTATAACTATATTTATATTATATTTTTTTAATATTTAAATTTAAGACACAGTATATAAATTAAAAAATATAATATATAATTTAAGAAATAGATATCAATTAATACAAAAAGTACGTGTACACACATATATATTATATATATATATATATATATACCAAAAAGTATAATATTATATTATTATATTTTTAAAGATATTTAAGAAGATATGTAAAAAGACTAAATTGTTAATAACTCAAACGAAGACTGTTAACAGAGTTAGTGACCATGAACTATTTTCATAGTAAAATGAAAACCACAAGGACGATTGCTACAGTTATCACAATTTTGGTCTCACTTTCAAATATTTCACTAAACTTCACGAACCAAAATTAGAGTTTACTCTTTTAAAAAATAATATTAATAATCTCATTTTTGCCAAAAAAAAAAATACCTTAATAATTGACTGGCATTAAATTTCATGGTTATTACAAATTATTAAGTTTTCATTTAATTACACTCATTATGATTTCAAGTTTAAGTTTTACTTATTGAATGGTTATGTATTCGACTTATGTTACTAGCCAAACATTTGTTTTTGAATCAAAAAGCTAAATATTTTTAAATAATATAAATTACGATAACATATTTAATTAAAATATAACATTAATAACAGAACACAAAAATATAATAAAAAAACATGTTAATAATATATAATAACCACCAAAACAGAAAAAAATACATAACCATGATAAAATCATTTAATGAAGATTTTGTTTTATATAATAAAATAATTTATTTCATAATTTATAATCAAATGTATGAAGTTGTTAAAATAAAAATGGGAATAGATTGTAAAGTTAATAAATATAATGGTATTATTAAATATTTAACAAAAAGATAAAAAAGAAATATATATGAAATTTTATAATTTGGTGCCAAAATATTTGGTATAAATTGTAAAGTAAATAAATAAGAAGATATTATTAACAAATTAAACATGAAAAAATATACATAAAATCTTATAATTCGATGTAAAATTTACTATTTACATTAAATTTTATTATCTATTGAAAACTCGTTACATGAAACAAGTAAATGCCCCCTAAGTATTTCTTTTTATATCAATTTGTTAATAAAAATAATACAAAAATAATGTGATACTAAATTTATATTTTATTATTTAAAGTAAATTATTGATTTGGTCCTTGAGGTTTGTTAATTTTTTTTTGCAAAATTGGTCTTTTATCTTCATTTACTACAAAAAAACCTTTTCACCTATGCGATTTGTCTTTGGTCTCTCACACTAACATTCATCCATTGTCCCATTGTCTCTGTTAATTTTGATGGTATTTCTGTCTTTTAAATTTCTTATTTTCTGTACATTTTGATTATGTGTTTTTATATTTTGTATTTCTGCATTCTTTAACACTAATTAGACAATAAACGTGATATATAATTTAGAAAAATTCTTTCCTCTCTCCCCTAACTTCTCGATAGTATCATACCCCTACCACCTCCATTTTCAGGAATATCCAGTTTCAACCTTTGGCCGATAACGTTTTTTTGAAAATGTAAAGAGTAGAGATGGCAAGGAGATGTTCTTGAAACTTTCATGCTCATTCGCACAACTCACAACTACTGTTTTATACCTAGGTTGTTGACATCTCTTTCTTGTTCTTCAACCTCCACCATGACCGACAACACCTCCCTCGTCATTGAATGGCTCTGCTTCATCTTCCTCTTTCCATGCCCTCGACTACTATAAGCTTCCATCGATACCCTCTTTCTGTTCATCACATTTCTTTTCGCATTTCAAAAGCTCTATTCAAGCTTCACCACTAGCAACAACGATAGCTCCGCCATTAATCAACTTCTAGTTCTTAAAACTACCACCAAAATCAGGCTCTAGTTCAAACTATCTTTGCTCGTTCCCTCCATTTTAGCTCTTTTATCCATTGCTTCATCCATTTTAACGTTTACCCACAACATTTTTGCGTGTGGAAACTGTGGTCAATTGTGGTGGCGATGGAGTTTTGGATGGTCGATGTTTGTATAGAATATAGAGGGGTGGGGGTGGGGGTGGGGGGTTGGAGAGTATAAGGTGGTGGAGGTGGTGGTAGTTAGGATGGATGGGTTTTTCATGCCGGAAAGAAGGTGAAGGTCCAGAGGAAATGACCTTTCTTGTCATGTTCAGATTTAGACCTCCAAGTTTTACTCTTATACATTTTAGCTCCGGTTTAGAGAATTTTGGCAAAAAGAATGTAAAAATAAATAAAGTGTGTAAAATGACCGTGTTACCCTCGTACTTAATGAAGATAATTGACGGACGTTAGGCCTGGGGACCAAATTCAAGACAAATTGCATAGGTGGAGGGTTCTTTTGTAATAAATGAAGATAAAAGATCAATTATGTAAAGAATGACAAACCTCAGGGACCAAATTTGTAATTTACTCTATTACTTATACCACCAAAATAACAAAAGCTATGACGTATTCATGAAAAAGAAATGATATAAAAATAAACGAAGTTGACTACAAATAGCCATTTTGGAGCCTTTTCATTCATTTATAGCGACTTTTTGGATTCGTCTAGAAAATAGATAAATGAAAATTCACTTTTTCAGATTAAAATAATAAGGAAAATGAGTATTATATGAGTTGTTTAAATGCTACTTACGTAATGCCTACGGACATCCCCATATTCACTTACACAATTTGCATAAATACCCATTTTCCCTTACTTTTTAAATTCGAAAAGTGGGTTACGTAAATCATGTAATGCTAAAAGATGGCTATAAATTGACTGAAGTGGTGGTGGTTTGATTAGCTATCTTAATCAATTTCCCAAAACTAAATTTGGTGTCGTGAAAAAAAAGAGAAAGATCACTCCTTTAAAAAGCTTGTGTCAGGACAAAGTCAACTCTTGCTCATCGATTAAAGTTTTATGTTGGTATCTCGATTCATCTTTTATCCGTTCCTTTTTATATTGATCCTTGGTATCTAAATTAATTTTTCTTGCATTCCTCTTTGCTTACTTAAATTTCTTTCATCTTCTTTATACAATACTCTTTGGCAACCTAAATTTCTTTATTTACCTGATTTCTTTGTTGATCTTTGCCATTAATAGGTCTGGGGAGAAGTAATTCGACTCATTCACATCCAGATCATGAATATTTGGAATCCATATTATACAAAGAGACATTGCTTTTGCTAATTCGTTGACCAGGATTAAAGTTGTAATGCTTTTCAATTCACCTAGTTTCTTTATCGTTTATACTTGCTTATAAGGTGTTTGATAAAATGCACAAAAAGTTTAAAATTGTCTTCCCTGAAAATTATACATAGTCAATTAGTCATGTCCATATATGACATAATTGTAAATTTGGTACATTTTGTTCCACTTGGGTCTATGTTGAAATGAAACAGTAGTGGAGGGCTTTACCTACAATTTTCTCTTTTCCATCGACATGCAAGCACTTGATGCACAAAACAATTGATTCTCCAATTGGGGCTTCCCTGAAACGTGTAAGTAAGCTTCAGACCACGCGAAACACAAAACTTTCTGCTCTCTTCTACTGCTGCATTTACTCTCCCTTGTTAATTCTTTGTTCGATTATTGTAAAATTTATGAGAATCGATTGATTTGTTTGTATGAAGGAGAACTTGATTTGGGTTTGATTGAGAGATGCAAATCATGAAGTCTTTGATTATTGGGTCTTTTCCTAATAAGGTTTCTTCTTATTCTCCGTCATTACCAGATTCATATACTTCACTCATCTCAACAGGTACTAATGCTAATTTTATTTGCATTTTCTCTGAAATCTGATGGCTTGTGAATCTGTTGACTGAAATCTTTATGAATTTGTTAATCTCTCTATATGGGATTTTGATAATATATGAGAAAGACTAAGAAATCATAAACCTTTTTGTTGGCGTTTTTTTTGTGTGTATATAGCTCTTTACAATGACATGACTTCCCAAAAAAATGTTTTGTGGTTCTTGTGAGATTTGGTTAATCCCTTCTAATCTTCCACCACAACTTCATAAACTTATGATAATTTTTCTGGGCATTTGGTATACTTTTATTGCACATTTGAAGCAATGTATCCTTTTATTAAACTTATATGTTTCCTCTTCACTTCGAAGTCAAATTGGTAAATATCTTCTACTTTTGTGGACATTTTGGGTGTAAATCTTGTTTGCGTCTTCGTCTAATTGAATCTCTATGAATGATGTTCATGAAGCTGCTTGTTGGTTCACTGTGGATTAAAATTAATTAGGGATTTTTTGACTTTTAAAGTTAATAGTTGGTGAATAATTTTGGTGGGCATATTTGGATTACTAATCATATTCTTCCCATCAGCATCTCTTTATCTTGCTCTATTTCTTGAATTTTCATCTTTCTATCTTTTTATTTGTTTCTTTTTTCCTTCAAGCACTTGCTTCTTTTAGATTTGCTACATGTCAAAGAATCAGCCTTTTAAATTTTTTAAATTTATTAATAATTGTATCCTACAAGTATCCCAAGGATCAGGGGTGTGTTTATAACTTACCAGTGCTGCTGCATTCGTGATTTCTTGAAGTGTCACACATCTAAAAATTCATGAAAAGATGAATCTTTTTAGTTTTGTATTGGATTTCCATCCATAAATGATCACAATATATGTATGATGATCTTAATTTATGTTGTACTAAAACATTCACAAGAACTCGAAGAAATAATTTATATGATCGAACTATATATAATGCAACTTTTCAGATATCATATTTGAATTCTGAAGGAACTAGGTCTGACTTTGTTAACTCTTTCATAAACATATTTTTTTAAAACTGGCAGAGTTCTTTTTCACAATGAATTCATAGTGTCTATTTCTTTGGGCTCGTATCTCATTATTGTTAATTTTTTTTATATAACTTTATAGGTTCTTTTCATGTATCATTAAGAGCATCAAAGCTTAAGCAATCTCAACCAAATCTTGTGAGATACAGCAATGGCAGCTTTAATGAAAGTTCTCTACTTTCTCGGAAATGCAACACAAGGCATGTTGCAAATGCGGTTTCTGAACAACCCATGGAACCTGACTCTACAAACCCTCAAAATTCGCTGCCAAATGCTTTAAACGCCTTCTACAGGTTTTCAAGACCTCACACAGTTATAGGAACCGTAAGATTCTAACGAATCGTTTGTTTCTGATGCAACTATCAAATTCATTATCTAGGTGGTTATTATTCCTTCCTTCCAATGACATCACAACATATTGATTTTTGGAAAGTTTTGAAATATATAATATTTATATACAACAAATACTCACACAGACTTCTCAACTTTGGTGGGTTTGAGCCATTGATCTCCGGGAGGCTGGGTTCTACCATTAACCCAGGTATCGCTCAGCCGATGACCCTTTGGTAGATTTTTGGAGAGTTTTCAAATTGCAATTATTTGTTTAGCATTTACCCGTTTTCTATGTTACAAAAAGAAAAGATATACCAAATGGTCATTGTCCCAGTGGTATCTGGGCTCTTAGTAGAGCCTAGCCTTCTAAGAGGTCAAGGGTTCAAGCCTCACCCAAGGTGAGGAGTGTGCGTGAGTATTTGCCATATAAATACTATATACTTCAAAAAACATGTTGATATTGGATTGGGTCCATAAGACTACTTTGTTGTGTCTCTTTTGGAGCATGTTTTAGACGGTTGACAAACAGTCAAAATGCTTTTTCACAAATACGAGCTGAGTTAAGCGTTAAATTTCATGGAAGGAATGGTGTATGTCTTGCTTTTTGCCTTTTCTTTTCCTTGTTAAAGCATACAACTCATATTTGATCTTTTCGAGCAGGCATTGAGCATAGTTTCAGTTTCACTCCTTGCTGTTCAGAGGCTTTCGGATCTTTCTCCACTATTCTTCGTCGGTGTTTTGGAGGTTCTTGAACTTTTGATTTGCATTCATAACTGAGTACTTAACTTTTTCAATTACAAACAAACCATCATTGCAAACTGCAAAACAAAAACAAAACTACACTTTGTAAGGATGAGGGATTTTTGACAATTTGTGGCAATGTAAATGCAAAACCATTGTATTTGGCCCTTTTGTCCCAAGATTGATTATTCTTGTAAAGTTTGGAGATACTTTTTTCACTTTAACAAGAACGATCGTTTCTTGTAAAACAAAAAGCCAAGCATAGTGGTTCAATAAGTTGATCACTCATTCCTAATTCTCTTGCATACTTTGAAAGAACTCTTTCCAACTTAATTTAATTTTATCAGCAAGCTTCTTACATGATTAAAACCTTGAATTTTCAGGCCATTGTTGCTGCCTTTTTTATGAATATATACATTGTTGGCTTGAACCAGCTATCCGATATAGAAATAGACAAGGTATCTTTTTCTCACCAAAGGTTGTTTGGAAAATCAAATGGGGTCAAGACCTCTTTTATGCAACTTAAGTTTTTGTAAGGCTAATTACCAGCCATACATGTGGATTATAATCAAATATGAGGTGCTGGTATATCTCAGGTTAACAAGCCGTATCTTCCGTTAGCATCCGGAGAATATTCTGTTCAAACCGGTGTTATCATTGTATCCTCATTTGCAGTCATGGTAAATAAATCACGCTTTTCCACTGCTAGCTTCATGAATGTGTTTTAACTTGATCTGAATAATTTATATGGTATGCATAAATGTGAAGCAAAATTTTACACCATTTCATCCATTCTTTGTTCTCCATTTTGTTGATCTCATCCTCATATCTCCTCGCATCAACCAAATTGGACCCACTTCACGTCTTTGCTTATTCTCACACCTCTCATAGAATAGAAATGTTAAATGGTGAAAGGGAATTGGACCTATGCATTCTCGCAATGCATAAACCAAAATACACTTATCTTAATCAAGATAATGTGTCTTATTCTATAAGTCTTCCATTACTATACCAAATAAAACAGACGCATTACTTTTCTATTCCTTTGGCTACTAATTAGTTTGGATGAATAACCACCACATGCAAATCCACACAAATCTAGCGTAAGTTGTATAGAGTCGTATATTGCTATTCCATATGTTAGTATGGTCAAATAAGATAATCACTCAGATGCATTCTTTTGTTTCGGAAACTATTTTAGGTTGATCCTGTTCATGTTTGAATGTCTAGGTTGGTTTAGTAGTGGTTCATTATGTAGTTTGATTTTAATACCTATGATCCGTTCTTCTTATATCCAGTTTTACAAGTTATTTTAAGATACATATTATATACATAACATCTTCAACTCACATTATTTTTCACTGTTCTACACCAGAGTTTCTGGCTTGGATGGATCGTGGGTTCATGGCCTTTATTTTGTGCACTTCTCATAAGTTTCCTTCTTGGGACTGCATATTCAATAAATGTGAGTTTTTCTTTCATAACACATTACCTTTAATCTGACATTACACATATGGTTTGAGTTTTGTGGTCAATTGATCATTCTTCAAATCTAAAATTATCATGATTCCATTGATAAATTGGGAGGTTAAATGATATCTTCTTGTATTACCTTTTGTACAACTTAAAATGGCACCCTTGTTTTCATCTATATCCAAATAAGTTCGTAATTTGTCACCTAAAATCTTCGACCTTTTATTTTGAATGAACACCATCATTGTTAACCAACCTATCTATGCATTTACCACCTTTTTGTTTTCTGATCTCATGAATCACTAAAGCCTACTTAGGGGCTGTTTGCCATTAAGTCCTCTATGGATAAAGCTGTCTCTGTGGATTAATCTATCTGTATAGATTGGGAAGGTTTTTTCATAGATCGAAGGAGTGTGTTTTTAGTTAGGAGAGGCAAGTTATGTAACACCCCCTGTTCTGAGTGGCCAAGGACAGGCGGCGGTTCACATTTGTGACCCGGAATATAAAAATTTAATAGTAATTAAAAAAAATACAAAACAATAATGGAGACATCAAGCAACTAAAATAAACCCGACATATATTAATTACATCCACCAAAATATTAACAATCGATGGTTATAAACTCTAAATTTACAATAACAAAAGATTTACAAAATAAGGATCAATGTCTTCGGTTGTATCAACGGATCACTACTCGATATCACGTCCCTAATTCACCCCGTGTCTCCTCACTGATACCTACCGTGTCATAAAACAAAACACGGTTGAGCTATGGCTTAGTGGACGGATTTTATAATATAAATCGTAACATATGAAATGACGAATAAAATGAGATAACAACATGTGAATCGTCAAACAACTTTTAGATCAACAAATTACTTCAAATCGAAAATCGAATAACAAAGTGATATCTTAAAAGTCAACATTTATATGTCACAAACTTCCCAAAATCGGCTCGTTTCCAATTATAATTCATGACTCAAAAAAAAAAAAAAAAAACTACCGGAATACTCCGGTTCATATCACCCAAAGGTGTTATTCCTTGAACCACCCTTGTGTCTCGCAATCTCCCAAGTGATGATCAGTCTACTTGGGCTTTGGGAAAGGTATGCAGACAAATCATAACTCAATCCCCTTCGCGAAGCATCGCGGACATGGCACTATCCTAGGATCGATCCATCCGCCCTCAACCCATGCCTAGGCTAAGCTTATTTCCCGAGCTTTCAATCATGAGGACACTATGGTACTTCCAGCTACCCTAGAAACTTCATAGCAGTCGATGCCCCAACTACTATGTCTTTTAAGACTCAAATTCAAATCCTCAAACCATAAATCGGATGACTCAATAAAAGCTATTGTGGTTTCACGCACGGTTCATTGTTCTCAACATCAATTTATAATATCAAATATAAATCATAAATCAAGAGCATAACAAAGTCCGAAACTTGATCAAAAGATCTCAATTGTATCTCAAAGCATTTCTCGGAAACAAGACCATAATAAAGTTTCAACGATAAGAAAAGGATTAGCTCACCCTTTTGGATGAGTTATGAAAAATCATATCATGGATGGGAAGTCCATATGCAAATGGGCATGCCTCGAATTCAAAGGATAAGAAATCCGTACCTTTTGAGCCAAAAACACGATATAAACGACCCATGATTGAGTTCGAACCACCCACACGAATATCCTATATAATAAACATATTTCAAGATTAAACTTCTATCACATATATCTATATATATACACATGTATTAGAGACTCTCTTATGCCTAGTTATAGACCTTGTTATAACCCTTGATAGGTCATATAAGCTTTAGGATCGAAATGGACAAGTTACATAAATGTACAAGAGTTAAAGCATAGAGTACAACCCAACAGCAGCTTCCAGCTCAATAACCTTCCAAAAATCCACTCATTAGTCAATCCTAGAGGTTGATTTAGACGTTTAAGACTAAACGAAAGTTGTAGGTTGGTCTTTTTAGGTTCTACAAAAACTGGAGTTATGGTCTGATAAATACAGAACTTATACAAACAGAGTACGATTCCCGAGTAGATGCAGACCAGTCCTGGAAAATCCATATTGTGAGCCACTTGGAGTTAGAATTATTACTTATGGTAAACTACAAAGTTAAATTAGACTCGTAGACCTCTCCGACTATATATGGCTCACCTAATTTGGACTTGCGGTTGATTTTATTCACATTTTTATACATTCTGGAATGTTTTCTTCCCTGCCAGCTTCAGATTTTGAAATTTTGGGGAAGTTTGAGTCCATTAACACCATGACACTCTACTAAAAGACTTGGAATCCATTCCAAAACAACTAGTGAACAACTTGGAGCATAAACATCAAGTTTTGAAACATCTAATCACACTAGTTACTACACCCCATTCAAGGATTTATAAACCCATAAAGAAACAATTATATCAACCAAAAACATGACCAAAATCTTAAAACTCTTCAAAATTGAAGTCATCATACCTTAGAATGTCACTTTATCTTCATGAGTTTGTCTTCAATTCATCAAAATAACCTCAAAATCACAAATGCAAGAAGGGAAATTAAGGTTCAATTCTAGGGTTTGTAGAGAGAAGTTAGAGAGAATTGTAGTAGGAGTGAGAGTAAAATGGATAATTATGGCAAAATAAAATCAATAAAGGGTTTATATAATTACTAAAAATATTCCATTCTAAACCTCAAACTCCTAAAAAATTATTCCAGAATAAATGGGCAATAGTTAGGAGAGGTGCGCCAGCGGCGAGCAGAAGCAAGGTTATTAGATACCTYAGGAAAGCCCGGCCAGAACCACACGTGCAAGTTTCCCTGCATGTGGCTCGTCCGTGATAACTTCTTCGGATTTGCKTGAACTAGCGGACCGATCACTAAGTGGGGATGCTCCCTCCAGCATGAGCGAACCTTTTCGAAACGAAAGTGGTTAGGAATGGGCGCCCCTCTCCCATTTAGTCTACTTACAAATCAGCCTTGGATGGCAATTACACTACATTTCAAGTGCTAACTAGAGTTTTGAATACTCAACTTTGCCCCTTATCCTACTATGGTCATTAATTTATCCTACTAGAGTTTTGAACAGGCGGGGGGAGCGTCTGATCAGCAACGTACTTCAACTGTCAGTACTTCCACAACTTCCTCAAGTTTGGAAGCTACTGAATCTGACAATGAGGCAGATTCTGGTGATGATCAAGATGATGATGATGATGGAGCAGATGATCGTGTTCAATCTATTCCTGCTCAGAATATTCTTGCTTAGAATATTCCTATTGGAACTCTTGTTGATGACATATTTCCTGAATATTCAGCACAACAACCTTGTCCAAGTTTACATTCTTTGTCATTCAACGTTGAAGAATGCGATGATTACGATCGAATACTTCAAGATCTATCTGATGAAGGAGGAGATGAGGGTGTTTTTTGTCAAAAATGAAGAGAGGTTGAGAGAAAGGGAAGAAAAAGAATATGGAGAGGGTGAGAGTGGAATGACAAAAACTCTGAGGCTCGAACAAAAGGGTTAATATCTAACTGTTGACGTAAGAGACCGACCAAATCTGCATCTTCAGCATCTGGATTTTGGGATGCCATCAATTTTGCATATAATAACGATTTCAGTTCATCCACCTATTGGTCTTGTACTGACGGATCAGGTACATGTGGTGGTGATGGCGCAGTTGGTGGCTCTTCTTCTACAACTTCCTTTCCCTTCAAAAGTCTTTTAAGACTGGCCATTTGAGCATCAAAATTATCTTGAACAGCCTTTAGGGCGTCGTCCAAATATTCCCTTGACACGAAGTCGGGTAAACTCACACCTGGTTCACTTAGAATACCAGTTGTAACAACAGTTGAATAAACTGCTGTGCCTACGTTCAATGTTGGCGTAATGTTAGCATTAGTAGGACTTCCGACCTGTCCTTATGGAATGTCAAAAGACACCACTCCGGTCGTTCCGGCAAGTTCACAAAGAACTGCACTTTGAGCAACAGATGCTCCAGACTCATGTGTACCTATGTGTTTTGGCTCTAGACTCGAGGTGCACAGAATCGAAGTCGTAGGCTGGGGCAGCGGCCTACTTATTTCAATAACTACATTCTCCAAATGAGAAGTCGTTAGCAAATGTGCTCTATCTCCTTGTGAAATTGAAACAACTGGTTGTTGAGAACCAGTTGAGTGGATGGGTGGGGTGTACATTTGCATAGCTGGGCTAGCTATGTCTTGTTCAATACCAACATTCAACGAATGAATGTCAGTAGCAGATGTGGGTGCCCGGCTATGTGTTTCAGCTTGAGAAGGAGCTTGATCTTCTTTTTCTGCTCCACTCTCACCCTCTCCATATTCTTTTTCTTCCCTTTCTCTCAACCTCTCTTCATTTTCGACAAAAACACCCTCATCTCCTCCTTCATCAGATAGATCTTGAAGTATTCGATCGTAATCATCGCGTTCTTCAACGTTGAATGACAAAGAATGTAAACTTGGACAAGGTTGTTGTGCTGAATATTCAGGAAATATGTCATTAATGTCATCAACAAGAGTTCCAATAGGAATATTCTGAGCAGGAATAGATTGAACACGATCATCTGCTCCATCATCATCATCATCATCTTGATCATCACCAGAATCTGCCTCATTGTCAGATTCAATAGCTTCCGAACTTGAGGAAGTTGTGGAAGTACTGACAGTTGAAGTACGTTGTTGATCAGACGCTCCCACCGCCTGTTCACCCCTCTCTATTTCTTTTTCTCTCAACTCACTTCCATGTTCAGCTGTTCCTGAACACGCTCTTCTATTTCTACCTCCTCTCTCACAGCTGAGGCATGGGGTGATCCTTGGGCAAGTTCAACCGGTTCTGGTTGAGCTATTGGATCTATCACTCGCCTATAATCTATAACGCACTGAGCGGTCTGATCAGCTAAGGCAATAAGTTCTGATGGTACTGGCATTATGGAATCCAAGTCTTCAACTTCTGTGTGCTGCCTTAT